TAGAGCAGGAGACGAATTCACTGAAAATATTCCAACACCGGGAGGAATTAGACAAGGCGACAGTTTAAGCCCCTTCTTGTTTAATCTTCTCATGGGCAAAATTATCAACAAAGTAACATCTCTTAATCTCGGATATAGAATGGGCAACAAAAGAATTGGTATGGTGTGTTACGCAGACGATGCAGCAATTATTGCCGAATCAGAAGATGATCTCCAAAGGCAGCTCTTTCAGTTCTTTCAAACAAGCCGACTACTAAATATGAACATCTCTACCAACAAAACTAAATGTATGACAATAGCAAAAGATCCGCTCAGATGTAAGTTAGTGGTTGAGGACAACCCCATAGAACAGGTGATGCAATTCAGATATCTGGGCATAGATATATCAAGCACCCACGACCCAGTAAAGGACCTGAGGAGTCAAATCAACAAAGCATCTGCACTGTCAGGATGTCTGCGGGAGATAGTCTGGTCAAATCCGTATATGCGCACAGATAGTAAAATTAGAATCTATAAGACTTGCATACGACCGATCATGACATATGGCATAGAAGTGCGCGAAGATACCAACAAAACGAAACAGATGCTAAGGGTTGCCGAAATGAAAACCCTAAGAACAATAATGGGGAAAACAAGAAGAGACAGAGTGAGAAATACAAACATTAGAGAGCAGTGCAAAATTCAAGATATTGTAAGATGGGGAAGGCAGCGCAAGAGGATGTGGTGCAACCATGTAAGACGAATGGATGAGAATAGACTCCCAAAAATTGCCCTAGAAAACAATCCGCCCGGTTCAAGACCCCTCGGAAGACCACCTAAAAGATGGAGAGATAGTTGGCAATCTACCTCCCAAGAAATTAACCAGAGGCAGCTTCAGAATTAAACAGATTGAAAGATCTACAAAAAGTAGCAGAAGAAGTATTCGCGTTCTCAAACGACCGTGCTGTCAAAATAGATAACTAATAAAAGTTTGAATAAATTAGAGTTTAAAACTGTTATAGGGGAAAGGGGGTCGCTGGGGTAATGGTAGCCATGAAATATTTACATTTACGTCCTAATATTATTTCACTTTTAATACCTGTTGCGCCATCTAACATTGTTTCGTTCAAACTCTGCCTAAAACAATGACGATGTTTTGCCGGCAAAGAAGGAATATATACATATTTTGTTAAAAGTTGATGTATTAGTGCAAGATTTTTAAAGGTATGTAGAAGTATTTATGTAATTAAGTCTATTTAGCTGCATAATTGGTACCCATTTGTAGTTTAAGACTATATAAAAAGTTCTTGTTTTAGTTTAAGCAATTAATGATTGGAGTCGATCAGTATAAATATGTATTTTGGGGTTATAATAGCCACGCGCTTGGAGGTGATGCTGCCACCTAGTGGCCTGGCCGGCCACTATTACCTCCAAATTATATTTATATAATACAGAATATTTCTTTATAAATTCTTATATTTCAGATGCCTCGAGTTTACAAGAGAAAATGTGACAAAGCACGATGGAATTCTGAGCAACTTAGTGCAGCAATAAATACAGTAAATAATGGCACAAGCGTCCGTGAAGTTGCAAGAAGTTTTGCAATTCCCAGATCTACAATTCAACTACGACCAAAGCGAAATGATACAACAGCTGCTTCTTTAGGTTGTAATATACTGAGGCTCCGCTGTCACCACTGTACAACTCTGTTACCACTGTAATATACTGGTAATGAACCTTAAAGGATGCTTATCCCTGCGAGCGCGGCTGCAAGGAATACTGGTCACACTAGTCTGGAGGGCTGGCTCGCCTTCGTGGATTTACGAGAAGGTAAGGAACTTCGGAATCGGGGTTAAGGACTTCTAGGTCTCAGGTCCTGTAAAGAGTTTGAGTCTATGGGCTTACTTTAGAAGCCGGATAAATGTATAAGCTGAAATTTGGTACTCTTCTGGTCTCTGTCTGAATCGGTCGGAAGGAACATAAACCAATTTTAGAGCTCTACAAATGTATTGAATATACTATGTGGTTTACAATTAAGTTAACAAATTGTCAGATATAAGTAATAATAACTCGTTCGGCGCGAAGGGAGACGAGAAGAGATCTTAGCAAGAAAGTAAAGGGGTGTACAATCTGTAATACTATAATTTTACTCGGGTTAGTATATAGAATTTTGTTACCTTTCGCGTATTTAGGCTCTAGCTAATGATACGCCCTTCAGTTCCTACGGAAATCGGATTTCTTTCAGTACCCGACACTTATACGGAACTATACTCGAAATATAACAATCGCGCGTAATCCGCACCTGGTGATACTCTCGTATTCGTATTTCAATTGCTGATGCCGGCAATACTGCCTGAGCGGCCAGTCACGGTGCCCCGCTATTACTGATCCTTTCCGTCGTACTACTGCCTGATTGACTCCCCTGTTCTTGTTTTTATTGAGCTCAATTCTATTGAGGTCAATTTCTTTGTGTAATTTAAAATGTATACTTCACTGTATTAATTATCCCTTATTTGATTTGGAATATATAATAATCATTAAAATGATTAATATTCTCCCCTATGCTACAAACCTTTATTTTTAATCTTTACTCTCTTGCTATGTTTACATTACAGGTCGTAATTCTGTATTTACCAAAGAAGAAGAAGAAGTTTTGACAAAGCTGGTCATAAAATTATCAAAACATTTTTATGGAATAACTCCCACAGAAATAAAAAAATGTGCCTATAAATACGCTGAAGAAAAAAATTTACATCATCCATTTTCCAATGAAAAAAATTGTTGGTTTCCATAAAAGAAATCCACTATTCGATTAAGAAAACCGAAGGCGACAAGTACTAACCGCATATTTGCTTTTAACAAAGCTGAAGTAAACCTATTTTTTTTCTAACTTAAAATCCACATTGGATAAATATAAATTTTCGGCATTCAAAATATATAATGCAGACGAAATAGGCATAACAACCGTCCAAAACCCTGGAAAATTTATTACAAGCTTTATTACAAGCGCAGAAAGATGTCAAACAACAACCAATAGGTGCTGCATAAGTACCTCAGGAACATATATTCCACCTTTATTTATTTATGCTCGCAAAAGGATGAAACCAGAGTTAAAGAAAAATGGGCCTCCTGGTACAATCTACTGCTGCTCGGTAATGGGTGGATAAATGAGCAAATATTTCCTGAAAGGCTCCAGCATTTTTACAATGTTGTAAAACCTTCAAAGGAGATCCAGTTTTGTTAATCGTCGACAATCACAGTAGCCACTGTACATTAGGGACACAAAATTTCTGTAAAGAACGGGGAATTATTATGTTAACCATACCCTCGCACACATCGCATCGACTCCAACCGCTGGATGTAGCTTTTTACTCATCGTTAAAATCAGCGAATAACATTAAATGTGGCAATTATCTTCGAAGTCATGAGCGTATCACGACATTTGAAATAGCTGAAATATTTAAAAATTCATACGGTAGCGTAGCCACACCAGTCAAAGCCATTAATGGTTTTGAGAATACAGGAATATTTCCATAATATTTTAAAAATTTTACCGATGAAGACTTTGCTCCAGGTGAATCATTTATACAAGAAAAAGATAAAAAGACACTAGACCAAGAGAAAAAAGTGGATTATAAGTGCAAGGAGAAGAATAATAAGGAAGTTAAGGGGAATAAAGAAAATTCGACACATGACAAAAAGTTTGAAGTATCTTTTGTTGACATAATTCCACTACCAAGATGCTCAAAACATGACTCAGTTGGAAATAAAATATCCAACTACCAAAGCAATAGATAGCCACATTCCGAAATAATGACATCAACACCAATGAAGTTACTTCTAGAAGAAAAACAGCGGAAGAAGGAAGAACAAATGAGAAATAAAGCCAGCAAAGGAACCAAACGAAAAATAGGCATAGAAGAGTCTAGTCCTCCGCGAATAGTTCCAAAAAAAAAATTGTATAAGAACACAAAAGATCACAGAAGATCTATTATCTGAAGATGAGGATGATGACGATGACCATGATAGGCACGTTAACGAAGATATTTGCACAATTGGTGGCAAATTCGGTAAAAACAGAGAACTCTGGATACAATGCAGCATTTGCGGTCAATGGGCACACAAAGACTGTACCAGTTTGAAAAGCAAAATTTACATTTGTGATTTCTGCATTTAATTATTTTTTAAATGGGGGTAATAGTGGCAGTGGCATACTTTTACCCCTCGGCATCAGGTAAATATGGCAACCAGCAGAAGTCTAAAAAACCGTTCTTAATTTTTTTTGTGTTCTGTTTAAAAATATGTATAACAGTATAATTTTTAAAGCTTTGTAGCAGTATAAATAAACCAAAATGCTTACGCGGCCCTTATTCCCCCGCTTTCCCCTACCTATAAAACAACTTTTAACAACAGTTTGTTCGAAAGTTTAGACTTGCCTTTGATGATTTAAAACGTTTCATGATGGAGATAACACCTAAAGAAAATGAAGATAATAATTATTTGGTTTTCTTTATAAAAGATGATTTTATTTAATAATTACTACAGAGTTTACTTTAAAATTCGGAAATGTTTTCTAAAAATAGGTCCAACGGTAGAAATGACATTTAGGAAACATTTTTTGGCATTTGTTACAGCTTCCTTTATCACACGCTTTATGTATTCCACATCAGTAAAACATTTGTCTCAGTTAGTAACGTGTCAATAGGTACGTTGCTCCCGAAATCACAATTTCGAATGATTTTATTAACACCTACGCTACGCTACCAAAAGCTTCACGCGGTGCGCGAAGCTCACGCCGGTCCTGTGCGCTCCGTCCACCGCGCGGCGCAAAATCAATATAACGACGCCCGATGTCGTCGTCGTGACGGTTCCCGGTCAAGCATGTGCTTTCGGCGTCGAGTAATGAACGTCAGTGTACCTGTGTAAAGCGACGGTGAAATACAAAAACATCGTCGTCGGGGAGTGATCAGCACTTCCTCGTGCACGGTCGCGCCGGAGAAAAGCGATGCACATCCAGGACCATGACGCCTTCTCCTCCACTGCCTCCAGCGGTCCAAAAAGACTTGGAGGACGTCGGGAAGTGGCTGGAGTCAAATCCGGAAGCCTTCGAAAGGTAGGTGATGCTTTTTTGACATAACACACACGCTATAGGGTAATTGCCAACCATCGGAAGGCAATAGTCGCGGGGAATAACATCGAAAACTTAAAACTGCTACAAACACTTCCGTTATATCGCAAAATTCCATTTAAACATAGCTTGCCAATAAATTACAATCATATCTAACAACAAATTACTTTTTACCAACAAATCAAAGTGAATTTCTTTTACCAAATCAGCCACAAAAGATACCAGAACACAAACATTTTAAATACTTCAATTACATCATCAAATTTTATTTCAAATGTATTTGCCATAATATTCCAATATGTTAAACATCAAATAAAGTGTTTTATCTTCCTTTTCAAACTCGAGTCTTAATGTTTATCATTCTACGTACGTATTCCATTCAAATATAGTAAATTTCCACACCATTCTTATCAGAATTAAAAAAGAAATCTTATTTTATAAATATGTTAAGAAAGTATTATTTATATTCATATTTGAATATCAATTAATATTGACTATATTGTCTTCGAAGAAGTCTTATATAAATATACAATTCCCAGTTTTACTTCTTAGTGACGATTTTGTTTTTCCTTTGTAGTGAATAATAGTAAAGTTGTGTATGATTTGTAGCAACTGTTCAATCAGTGTTTTGAATTTTAATGAAGTTTACAATTTGTGTTTGATAAACAAAGTAATTTATTGAAATAACTGTGGTGTTTATCGAAATAAATCTGTTGTGTCAGAATGTTCCAAAATAAAGTAAATCGCGTAATACCTAAACAGTATAACGAGTCAGCTTGTTTTCTTCTTTTTTTTATTTTGTATCTGCTGAATTTGGGTTTTTTCTCTTAAGTTCTGTCTGTTGATCTAAACAGATGGTTATTGCTAGATAGAAAGTTTATTTGACTATAAGTAACATAAGTTTTATAGCAAATCAAAGTACAAATTAAAAATATTAAACATTACAAAAAAATGGAACAACACACAAAAAATATTTTAAATATTAAAATACACAAAGCGTACAATATATGTATACAGAATAACGTAATACAATAATTCAAAAAAGGTGTATTCACCCAGTGTATAAGTACACATGGTCACTAGGTAGTTTTAATTTGGTTTTTAAAAGCTGATGTTGAATTATTGTTTTTAAAATTTTTGAGAAAGTTTATTATATCGTAGTAAACCACAGACACTCGACTTACTTCTTCTTCTTGTAGTTCCTTCTCCTATCGGAGGTTGGCTATCATGACATCTATCCTTACCTTATTGGCGGCTGCTCTGAAAAAGTCTACTGAGCTACAAACTATTACCACCCACTTAGGTTTTTAGCCAGGAAATGCTTCGTCTTCCTATGGATCTTTTACCCTTGATTTTTCCTTGCATTAGGAGCCTTAATGTTCTCATATTTCGCACTCTTGGTTACATGTGGCCTAAATATTCCTGCTTTCTTGTTGTTTTGATGTGCTTTATGACCTCGCAATCCTTTTGGTAGCCTTTTTATCCATTTCTGCATTTGTAAACTCGTTGGGTCCATGGTATTTTCAAATTCCTCTATTGCACCACATGTTAAATGATTTTAACTTCTTTATATTATCCACTTTTAGTAGGTCTAAGCTTTGTATTTCATACAACAAAGTCAAGAACACGTAGCATCTTTAAGGCTCTTATCCTCTCAGCTCCAGAGAAAGGTCTCGATTAACAAACATTTTCAATGCGTGTCCTTATTTCTTTTACCTTGGTCTCTTTTTTTTTCATTTACTCAGGTATCCAGATATTTATAGTTATTCACTATTTCCACATGTATTCCTTCGATATCTAGCCTTTCTACTGTATGTTGCTTAGAAATAATCATGCACTTGGTTTTCTTAAGGTCTATTTGTAGTTCATATTTTACTACTGACTTGATGTTATCTATTTACTAAGCGCTGCAGTGCTTCTAGATTGTCTGCAAAAACAGCAGGGCCATCTGCAAATCTTACGTTGTTCAAGATTTTTCCGTTTATTGATATACCCTGTTGTTCCTGTGATATTGCTTCCTTAAAAATAGCTTCGCTGTTCAGATTAAATACCAATGGGGATAGCGCGCATTCTTGTCTAACACCTCTTTTAATTTCCATAGTTTTTGTATCGACATTTTTGATTCTAATATTTACTTTTTGATTCCAGCACAGATTGACAATAACCCGTATATCTCGACTATTTACATTCTTTTGTTTGAATGGTTTTTTACAAGTTTCTGATGTCGTACTCTATCAAAAACCTTTTGATCATCTATAAAGCAGACATAGAGATCCTGGTTCATATCTAGTCGTCTTTGCGCGAGAAGGTTAAAAGTGAACATAGCCTCTCTCGTTCCTATTCCCCCTCTGAATTTAAACTGGGTGTCATTCTATATTCTTCTATTTTTTTTTGCTTAGTCTTCCATGTATCATTTTGAAAAAATATCTCTAAAGTGTGTGATTATTAAGGAAAATTGTTCTGTATTGTGGAGTCATTCTGCCGTAAGTACTGATTTGTTAGTGGTACAAATGTGGAAAGCAACCAATCTTCGGTGTATTACTCCTGTGTTTATACTTTGTTGAACAGATCTTAAAGTATATGCAGTAACAGATCTAAAAGTTTATTTGTCAATGCATTTAATTAGCTTACAGTGGGTATCTGATCTGAACCTACTGATTTTGCGATCTTTGCATTTCTAATTGCTTGTTCTAATTCGCACATTATTATTTCGATCCTGTTTGTTCCTACTTACTTCTGATGTCTTCCTACTTATTTCTAAATATCGGTAGGATACTACAAACTGTCTCTTATTTCATGTGTTGTGTGAATTAATATCATTGTTACATAAAATCGTTCTTTGATTCTTATGAATTAGTATAAATAATTCCAAAATGTAAATTCCATGCTCTGTTATTACATTTATATTGCTTTAAATAGGCCTTTACAATACCAACAATACGAAATACTTGCAATGCATTTAAGATTACCCTTTTTTTCCTTGAAAACTTCTTTTATACTAGAAGAGCCACTCCAGACAGTTATACTATAACTCATTGTCGACTGCACTTCGGCAAAATAAAAAAAAACGAAAATGGTGTTCACTAAGTATTCTCAAATTTCTCAATTGATATCACTGAGAGTTAAGTTTTTACATACATTCCAACAATGAGTCTTAAAATATAAATGAGACTCAAGGGTACTCCCAAAAACTTCACATCACTACAATTCAATAATAATCTCACCATTAATGGCAATACTTAGATCATGTTTAGCAGGAATTTGCACAGAATGCAAATTATATAAAATTAGTTTTGTTAACAGTAAAGAGGAGCCACTGATTACTGGACCAATCAGAGAAGGTTTTATAGTAGCATTGTTGAGTCACCCGCATAAACTAATACAAATGTATCAAGCATTACATAATGGTAGTTCTAATACACGAAATAATTAATATCGGGCCCAATTTGGAGCCCTGTGGTACTCCATTCTTATTAACAATCGGACTAGACATTGAAATTTTGAAGTCATTTTTATTTTAACTATTTGGGTGGCAACTTCTCTAACAAAGCATCTGTACAAGCTATCGGGGAGTACATTGTGTTACACACAATCCAAAATGGCGGTCGAAAATTTCTTCATAGGAACTGTTAATAGCTGTGGAAGTAGAAAACCACGTTGATGTTTTGTGATAACTTAATTGACATCTGAAAATGATAAAAGTTGTTTTAGCATTGCATATTCAATAATCTTAGATACCACAGATGGAACAGACAATGGTCGAAAATTTGACATTAATTAAGGATCAACTTGTTTTAATACTGCTGAAATTTTTCGGCATACTGGGAAAAACATCAGTATTAAAAGAAGCATTTATGATGTGAGCAAGCAAAGTCAAAATGTGAAAAGCAATTTTTTTTTAATTACTATACCTGATATTTCGTCATTTCATCAAAGCCATCTGTTTTAAATTTTATATTTAATTATGTCTAGAAACAAAGATATCTTCCTCTGTTGTATAAGCTAGGAACAATTTATTTTGAACAAAATCGTTGTACTGCTAAAAATTCAAATTTGGTTTAATTATTTTATTATTTATATCTTCTGGTGCATTTATAAAGGAATCAATAAATATTATATCTTAATATGTAATTTTAGTTTAATGTGTTGGTATACAGATATTTTTGTAATTTTTTTGTTTTCCACAAATTCAATTTCATTTATAACAGTCCATGTGGTTTGGTTTTTGTTAGAGGATTCAGACATTTTGTTTAAATAAAACTGACTTTTGTGGGCTCAACAAAAACAAGAGATTTTAGCTCAGGATATGCCTTATTCAAACTATATAAAAATTCTTTAGACTATCTGAAAAATATATCACTTCTTGTGTGACACAACTTCTTGTGTTGTTTTGGTAAAGTTTATAGGACAACTTCTTGTGTTGTCTTATAGGATAACTAATACTGAAATAGAACTTTAATTTATTATGAAAGGCAATATATTTACTCTCAACATCACTTGTTATTGAATATTATATAGGAATATTATATAGATCATACCCATATCTTCCTTTTTTCTGTTTAAAAGTCATTTCTTGATCCTTCACTTTATTTGTGTATGTGTTGAGTGCTTCATAAAAAAAACTGCTTAAAGTTTGTTTAGCAGTAATTGGTTGACTTCAATTATTATCGAATATAAACATCCTGGGTTAACCCGATAATAGTATAAAAGGCCCGGTTTCAGGTAACAACGGTTTACCTGAGGTACAAGGTCTTAACAATGGGCCAAGTCAGATAAATTTAGTAATATTTACGACCGCACTAATTGAAGTCAACCATTTTATGCTAAACAAACTTTACATATGAGCCTACTGGCTATAATTTTTGGATCTATCGCTAAACCGAAATGTTGTTCAAAAATTTAAGATTGTAAAAGGTTAATATATGTTGGGAATAGATGATTTGTACTCATCTTTGTTTCATTAGTTTCATTAGGGTCCAGTTTGTCTTCTCGTCGTCTTCTTCGCATATTATTTTATTCATTATTGATTCAGATTTATTTATTTTGGCTCCTAATAGACTTTCGTCATGTTCTGCGACTCTTCGCCAAAGGTGTCATTAAATCTAAACTAAACTTCTTTTTGCCCCGGTTTTTCTATTTCTTTTTGTCAGCTTTTGCCTCTTTCATTATTTTTCCTATAATTCCCAGAAAGAGACCATATTTATTTGTTTAAATTAAATAATTGGTTTAATAATATTCCACTTAACAACACTGGATGAAATATATTTTGGTTTACTTCATCTATAAATTAATTTAATTTTCCGTATATTATATCGATATATTTATTTTAATGTTTATATGCTGTAATATATTTAATTCAGAGATAGAATTTTGTAATTAAATAATTTATGTAATTTCTGCTAACGATCCGATACAACTCGTACATTTTTTTAGTTCGGGAATGGTATAATTAATTTAATTTAATTCATTATACATTTAGAGTAAATATAATTTGGTTTACATAGGGTAAACTAAAAACATTTACATTTGGTTCATGATAGGGTAAACTAAAAAAAACGCATCTGAAGCATCAATCACCTTCTTCATGTGTTCAACGTCTCCAACATTTGAGGTAGCGGTCATCATGGGACATCTTTCTTTTTTTCGCGTTTCCGAAAGTTTGTTAAAGCCTATTCCTATCTAGTTTCTTATATTATTCAATCAGGACATTTCTTTTCTCATATACCACGTTTTTCCTCTATTTTACCCTTAATAATTATTACAGAAACATAATACTTTTCGTGACGCAGCAAACGACCAAATTTTTAATGATTTTTCTGATTTTTTTTTGATCATTCATTATAGCTACCTGTAGTTATCTGTACAGAACTATTTTGGGCTGCAATATACTACGATCTTGGAACTTGTTGCATGGGCCATACTAGCTACTTCTCACTATCTTTTACATTTTTTTATAAATAATCTATTGACTAATATTTTCAAGCAAACGAGATAGCTAGACTCTCCACGATCAACAAAAAATTTCGCAAATGGCTAGCACTTTTACTCTCAAATTATTGTTGCATTTTGATTGCCGTTATTTGCATTCTCAAACGACCGTGCTGCCAACTGATGTCAAAATAGGTAACTAATAAAATAGGGATACATGTAAAAATTTGAATAAATTAGAGTTTAAAACTGGTATAAATTTCATCAAATTTTAAAAAATAATCTGCGATAAGAAAACAATTATTAGATATTGTTCAGTGCTAAAATGTTCAGCTCGATGTACGAAAGATATACTTGTCCACTAGTTTCCAAAGGATGAGAAATTACGAAAAATCTAATCAGTAGCTCTTCGTATTGCGAAACCTGTAAAAAAACTCCTGAATGTATGCAGCCGACACTTTAAGAAATCGGATTACTTTTTTCCAGGTGAATCATATTTGATAGGAAATTTATTTAGACAATATTGTCTCAGCGTGGATTTCTTTCTTAATTATTAAAATATCGTTTTACTTATTTTTTAGATGTGAGGACTGGCAAACGAGATTTTTAAAAACGATTCAAGTTCTATCTGAGAATCTACCTATACGATCTTTGGATAAAGTGTTGTCCTCTTCACAAAGATCATCTCGAGAAGAAAGATCAAAACGAGCAAAACAAGGCATCTATCTAGTACAGTATCTATTTCAAGAGAGGTAATGATTGACTCAGATCCAAGAACGTCAACAATTACGGAAGATAAAATCGAAATTAACACAAGTACAGCGATTAGTGCAGTTTTAGAAGTCATCTAAATTAGTCCAGAGTTACAACTGGATCACTCATTGAAAATCAGCACAGAAGAGAAGGCTATTCAAGTGACCCCATCTCGTATTAACTGAAGGCAAAAAAGTTATTTTGTATGATTTGATACTAATGCGTTTGCTGGAATACCCGCTCTAAATTTCCTGGAAAAAATTTGTGAAGCTGCTAGTTTGTTAGAAAACAAGAATTCGAAACCATTATTGCTTGAGCTAAAACTACGTTTCTAATGTTTGCTATGTTAAAAAAACTGACCTCACTGTGTCTCAGCAAACACGTGTAGAAATTATTTTCAGATAACAGCGGAAGTTGTTTCTGAAGTATTAAAAAACCTCCAATTTAGATTTAAGAAATTTTCTAAAACAAGTAATTATTTTAGACTGTACAGAGTTACTTTTACAAAAAAGCAAGTGTCTTAAGTATTGTGTAATGACTTATTCTGACTACAAAAAGAATTAATAATTTCAATTGCACAAACAACTATAGATTAATAACAAGACCGTAGAAATAAAGAGAAGGATACGGTTGGCTTGGGTATCCTTCGCAAAGCTTTCCTATATACTAAAAAATAGAAAATTTCCATAACATTTAAAAACAAGAGTCTTGAACTAATGTATATTTCCTGTTCTCACCTACGGTTCTCAAGCGTGGACGTTTACAAAGGAAAACATGGAAAAAATAGCAAAGACCCAAAGAGCCATGGAAAGGCAAATGCTGAACATCAGACTATCAGACAAGAAAAGAAATACTTGGATCCGCAACAAAACAAAAGTGATCGATGTATCAATGCAGATAGCAAAACTTAAGTAGAAGTTCGCTGGACATACCATAAGACAGAAAGACGACAGATGGAATAAGATGATTATACACTGGAGACCATATAGCTACAAACGAAAAAGAGGAAGGCCACAAATGAGATGGTCAGATGACATTGAAGAAACACGCCCGAAGTGGATACAAACTGCCTACAATAGAAAGACGTGGAAGAAGGAAGAGGAGGCCTATGTCCAAAATTGAACAGCAAGGTCTGTATAGATAGAGAATGTGCCAATTATATATTTGCGTTTGCCTGAATTTCCAGCCTTATATGTACAATTACAAACAACATTTTTAATATTATCAATCACTTCAATTTTTCACTGGTATTTGGTGGGGTACTTCTATCAAATTGCTCGTTTCACAAGTATTGATATGATTGGAATCTAAAATTGCTTGCCCTTTAAAATGGGTGTATTTAAAAGTCCTTATCACATTTACAATGTCCCTAGGACAATATCCCTATTTCGTCCTTCATCTATCAAAACAAGTGCTGCCACAGACAGTCGTTTGAGAACGCGAATAGCTGAAAATGTATTAACCATTTCGAGTCGGATTTTTTTTTCAGGATCGGTATGGAATTTAAAACTTTTTTTGTTTAAAACGTATAATTATGCAAAAATCAAAGTAATTGAGATTAATTTTATCTTGAGATGCGCCTATTTTGTTCAGGACATATATGTCCCAGTCAGACTTTTTTGGAACACATATGTGGGACTATAAGAATCCATCAGACACCAAATTATTACTTTATTTTAGTAAAGAAAAATCGAAAATACAAATAAAATCTCATATTTTGAAAACAAAAGGACTAAAACTAAGATCAATATTTAATGTAAATGAAAAGGTGTGAAACATGTTTTGCACAAGGGTACATTGAAGCTCTGACATAGTGTAATGGTTCTACCATGTTAAATATTTTTTTTGTTTCTTTGTTAGAGGACGTCCAAGTGATGACGAGGCTTTTCTTTTAACAGCAGCATGGCTTCGTCCCGATAAAATAAGTCCCTGAGCTACACTAATTAGAAAAGGCAAAAATAGTACTTTTTCTTTCCTTTTTAGATCATTGTGTAATACATGAGTGAGAATTACCAACAGCCATCATCAGCAAGCGAAAAAATACTTTCTTCCACCATTTGGTAGACTTCCTATCAAAGTCATACAAGCCCAAAATATGATCTTTTAGGTCCACGCTGCCCATTTTCTTATTGTACATGTCGAGCAGTTCAGGACATCGCACATTCATTTTAGAGCCATCCTTCAGTTTACTTCTACTTGCTGATCTCCAAAGCAATTGCTTGCTGCTAACAACTCTTTAGTATCTTATCATCTGCAAACTATGGTGCCGTGGTTATTTACTCTGAATTCTGAGTCACCACAAATCAACTTTCCAACAAATTTAGGTACATTTACTCTCGTTGCAATTATTGTTTCTATCGCTGGATAAGATAGAGTATCAAGTAGTCTTTTAGACGAAAAAAAAATCTGTCAAAACACAATAATACATCAGTTCCCCTTATAGTACTAACTAATTTGGTCACTACTCTTTCTCTCAATAATAAACTAGTATCATTTCCTATTTCGTTTCCCTCGTAAATATTAAAATCGTAGACATATCCTGTTGCAGAGTCGCTTTGTATCCATATCTTTATTCCCTGTTTGATGGGTTTCATGGGTATTAACTGTTTTAGGGAAGACCTTCCTTTAAATTTCGCAATTGACTGATCAATGCTTTGAAAAGCCGCCTCTGTTCGATATTTTTGAAATGTTAGTTTTAGACAATTAGCCACATCCTCGATGTAATATAATTTTCTCGCATTGTCAGGCTTTACCATATCAGCGCAGTATATTTTGGGCAAGGATCAGTTTACAACGATCTCGAGAAATTGCCCTTTTTATTGCTAAATTTCCTAAAAAATCATTTTGTGACCATTAATCAATACAATCATAATTTCATGTTCATCAGTAGAAATTCTTTTTTCTTGGTGTCATTTCCAAATTTCTTTAAACGTATGTAAGTTCGTACAATGTGAAATATGTCGAATGATGCTCCTGGGAAAGACTTAGAAATATTTCTATTTTCAGTCATGGTATGAGGAAGAATACAATCGACTTTTTTTTTGTGATAAAACCAAAAAACGTGGTAAAAAAGTTCCATCATTATGACACCAAATACCTGGTTGGTACGTACCTTCGCCTTCTTCATTATTTTCGTCAGTACTGCTTTCTTCTTCACTTATCATCTGATTCTCTTCATCCATTTTATTGCCCTCGGAACCTAAATCTATTTCGTGACGCTCTCGTTCTACGTCTCCTTCACATCTTGATGGATTGTCGTCTTCACCAACGGAGCCACTAGTCACAAAAGGATCGACTTCTGATTCAGTATCGCTTGCAAAAAAGAATATAGAAATAATCTTAAATTCTAAGTCAATTATCAAAGTTATGAGCGGCAATCCATTAAAGAAATTCGGGAATACTTTCAATAAAGCTTTTTTTATTTGAACTAAAGGACATTGTGACGTTCATATAATGAAATAAAACAATGATACTATTATTTTTTTCCAATAATCTGGCAGATTTTCCCCTTCGATTTTTACATTTCATTTAATTTCTATAACGAGGTAAAAAATATTAATGGAATTTCATTTAGAAACTCTCATAAAGTTTATTTTTAATTAAAAAATTCCTGAACACTCAAATTTGTTTAGCAAATAACTTGTTTATGAATTTCCGAGCTTAATGTAAAATAATGAGGTCTTAATTAATATCTCTAGCGAAAGATTTGAATTTTTATTTATTTGCATTTTTAGCACTTTTCGAATATTTTTGATATAATAAAAAACGGCATAAATAAAAGAACAATGAATGAAAAAGATTTTTTTATTTAAAAACGACAATTATCTTGAGATTTGTATTTAATTAGTAATTTATACAACAAGTACATGAAACGATACTTGTTTCACAAAGGAAAAAGTTGGCAACACGAACCCTCAGGCGAGTTGGCAGGTATTTCTACTTTATATACTAAGTCAGTAATATAACGGGTCACGTGGGGGAGAATATTGTATTATAAAAATTTTCCCAGTATGTGAGTCAAAAAGAACTAAATCGGAGCGTAAAGCAGGGCGATACAATAACTATTTACAGCAGCCTGAATATGTCTATCTGTGTCCAAATGTTTCGGATAATTCTTTGACTTTTTTATGTAAATTATAATTTATATAAAAAAGTCAAAGAATTATCTGGAAAATCATGAACAAATACAGCTAACCGATTAATTGACAAAATCAATAAACTTATAGTTTATTCGTCTTCCGGGTTGGACCGTGTCATTTGTGAGTGACCCAAAAGTGGGTTCATCTCGACGTTTCGCTACAATTGTATGTAGCTTCTTCAGGAGAACAAAGAAAAAGAAATCAAAAGACAGGAAGATGGGTAGTTAGCAACGGTAACTCAGTTACTCAACGCAACCAGAGGCGAATACTAACTACCAAGATGGGCATTTGGTCACAGTAACTCAACTACTTAACGCAGTAATAGGTGAAAACCAAATGCCAGGACAGGGATTCACGTCCAACAGCTCAGAGCACTAACGCGTCGAGAGGCGGGGAGTGAATCCGACGATTACTCCGCTACCGCTCTATTTATAGTCGCGGTGACCTGTCGTGTCGGGACATATCGGCACACTCCGTGGCGCGAACGTCAAGAAGCGCGCGCTGGCCAATCACGTGGCTGCATCGTGGTAGCGGGACTGGACGGCGGCTCTAGACTGAGATTCCAGATGGGAGACAAGTAGTATTCTTCCTCTCGATTGATATTATGTGGATTTTTTCGGATCTCTAGAGATTCGCGGATTTTCCTGGAATAAAAGAAGGGGCTCTTAGAAATAATATGGGTTTTTTCGAACAATATGGAATGACCGGTTTCTTGGCAGTGTTCTGCAACTGATCGAATGCATCTTTGATGCTCTTGAATCCGAGTTTTGACGGAACGACCAGTTTCGCCAATATACACATGTCCACATGAACAAGGAATAGAATAGACACCACAGGAAGATAGGGGCGGTAATGGGTCC